GAAAAGCTGCCCAATAATACCCCTTGTTTATCAGTTCTACAGTATGCAGCTTCATTTATTGCTTTTTCTATTATCTCCAATGTTCTTAGATCAAGAGCAAATCCAGAAATAGTGGATCGCATATTGTGCGGTGTGAATAAATTCAGTTTTAAAATGAAATTGCAGTGAATTCAGTTTGGTTTGTGAATTTCGAATTCGATTCTAGGATTTAAACAAGTAGATAGCTTAATTTCGGATGGTTGTCTGACTTCAGTCATGCCAAGCACATCTTGAGATGAGCTTGAATTCAAACGAGCAAAGTGTCTGCTTTATGCTTATATTACTACAAGCGCTTCGGTTTGACATGAGTGTTTTCCTAATGCCAATATCAGCTAACTAGTAGTATACACAATCATGCTAATTTGGAGATAATTGGAATATCTAAACACTGATACTTAAGTGAACCGCCTAAAGAAATAGTAGAAGTAATACTAATAACAGTGTAAAAGGGAAAATTGTAGGTTGAAGAAAGATGTAGACAGTTTAGATTATTAGTTCATTTACAAGTAGGTAATCAGTAAAGATTACTGAAGGTAGGGTAAAGATAAGGACACTAAAACGAAATTAAGAAGTTTGTTGTCTGGTTGCCAGAGTTTTTTGTTGCTAATCCTTTTAGTCCTTCTGATACAGGCTCATGACTTATATCGCTCATAGTTAAGTGATATCTACAATATGGAAGTACGTCGGTGGCATAGCGGTTATGACGCTCACCGACTATGCACATGGTCTGGGGTTCGATCCCCGTCCACAAACGCACTCCTTTACCTCTCTCAACCAGCAGTAATGCTGTTAAAGAGGAAAGGTTGGGCATGAGGCTAGCAACCCCATCCTGTAAAAATAAACACCACTGCTACAGAAACTTCAAGCCACTAGCTTGAAGCCCTATGTTCCACTGGAGAACGTGAAGGAAATAAAGAAACAATATGGAAAGGACAGAATCAGTCTCATCTAGCCGAGACTGTTCACAAAAGTGCTAGGTAAATTACCATATCAATGATTTTCATTATAATACCATATTATCTAAAAAACTAAGAATTACGAAATATTAAATCACTATGATGTTCTTCTTCTGGAATTTAATTCAGTAGGCACTGAGGAAAATTTATTATTCAGTAAAATATCTGTGTTTCGTAAGTGACCGATAAATCAGTAGTGCAGATGAAGCCCATTGGTTGAAGGACTCTGTTCCCAGCCAATAAGTCCCTCTTCGCCTAATCCAAACTGAAACTGGAGAGTATTACTAGCGTTCACATACAACGGTTGTGGCTGATATCTTGGTGCATTAAAGATCTATTCTAGGTAACTGAGCAAAAACTAAAGCAACCATAAAAAACGACGTATCTGTCAAGTTCTCCTGTTTTAAAAATTGAAATTCTACAATGCCTGGTAACAAGTTCTAATCGGTTAAACCATTCTGATATTTCCCGGTGATATGTGGCCCAATTTTCGGCATTGGATCAATAGGGAAATGCTCTGCAATCATATACATCGACGGCGTAGCCCAAATATTCATCAACCTTATTCAACAGCTGTACGACAACGGAACATTTCAAGTCATCCACAACGGAAAACTCAGCGAGGCGTTTGCAGTATACGCAGGAGTCAGACAAAGGTGCTGGCTTATTATCACCAATGATGTTCCTAATTGTGGTGGACTGGATTATGTGTCAGACAGTGAGTGGGAAACGAGGAGACAGAGATATCGATCCTGGACCGACATGAAGAACCTAGAAGACCTGGATCTCGCGCCAACCAACAAATATGCAGGAGAAAGTGGAGATGGATTGGACACTTGCAGAGGAGGTCGCGGCTGGGTGACCGCACTCGCGTCAGGCCATTGTTCGAGTGGAACTAGGCCGAAAGAGGAGCGGCGAGTGGGTCGTCAGTGCAAGGCTGACATGGGGGAGGTCGTTTGAAGAGAGGGGAGTTGAAACAGTATGGACTGACATGGATGCAGGTGAAAAGTACAGCAAGAGGAAGACAGAAGCAAGTGGAGACGTGCAGTTGAAGGCGTATGTTCCACTAGGAACTCAAGGGAACAATAATAATAATACTTCTAGACTCAGCTTAGTAGATAGTTAGCTGTGGTGATTGACAATTTCTATCTCTGTATTGTTTAAATACTTACTGTTGACTGTTGATATGTTTCTTATATGAATTGCATAATAATTCCGCTAAATACAAATTCCTGATTTCTGCCCTCTCTGGGTTTTGTTTGGATTCTTGTAATTCGGTCATCTCGAAATACTAATATTCCTATTACAATAAATTACTACAAATTGGCGTCGCGATGGAACTAAATAACCTGGGAAAACTTCCTGTAAATGCTACTCCGCGGGAGATTGCTGATTATTTGGAATGCTTCGATGCGTGGTGCATTGCCAAGAATGTTCGGGATGACAAAATACCAGCACATTTCATTACTACTATTGGACCAGATGCGTATAGCCTGGTGAAGAATCTGGCGTTTCCAGATAAACCCATTTCTCTGTCATATGACAAGATCCGTGAACTTCTGACAAATCACTTTCATGTGACTACATTTGAGACCAGAGAGAGGGCTCACTTCAACAAACTGGTACGTTCTCCCAACCAGAAGATTAGAGACTTCATTCTTCAACTTCAAATTCAAGCCTCAAAGTGTAACTTTGGAGATCAGCTGCATACTCAACTACGTGATCGTCTAATTGCTGGAATCAATATTCCTAAATTAGAGAAAGAGTTAATTCAGATTCCTTCTTGTACGTTTCAAACTGCTAAAGATGTATGTATTACATATGAAGATGTCCATAATGAATACTCTGCTCCCACTACGTCAGTGTCTGATGTTATGCTTTCTAAAGTCGAAAATACAAGTGTTCATGGAAGGAAATCCAAACTGCCGTCCACAGGTAATAGAATGCAGCGAGAGATCAAAAACATTAAACCTTGTTTTTCCTGTGGAAAGTTACATCTACGAAGCACTTGCCGTTTTCGGGGTGCTAAGTGTCACAAATGTGGTAAAGTTGGACACATCAAGACTGTTTGCAGAAGTTCGAATACTTATGTTGCTCAAAATTCTTATAATTCTCCCAATCTGTCTAGTAAAATGGAGTCAATGTGTCTTTCAACCTTTCAAAATACTCAAGCTAATCCGATGAAAACCTCCACTACAAGTTCGGCAACTCAAGTGTCAACTGTTTTCAAAAATGAGGTAGCTGAGTTACAATGTGAACTGTCGAAAACACGAAAAGACCTGAATGAGATGAGAGAGCAACTGATTAAAATTGAGGAATTACTGCATATGCATAGACTGCGTCTGTTGAATGCAGAGCATACAAGTACCCGTGAAAGTCCTGCAAAACTTTTCAAATCTCGAATTCTCAAAAAGCATCTGATGTCCACGACTTCTAATGTACATTATTACAAAGGGAATGACTATAGACCTTCTGTTGGAATTATACTACAAAAAATGGGAAATCGAGTGGTGAAGATATTAGACATCAAAGATCACTCAGTTCATAACGGACACCTGGACAAAGTGACAATAAATGAAGTAGGTCGTTCCAATTATTATTTTAATGATTCCGCTAATAATCCTGATTTTGTAGATAATTCAGAAATAGGTCCAGATAATACTGATGAAAATAATATCACAGAATCAGTTAGGTCGAAGCTACTTGCAAGCAAACCGAGACATCGTTATAAATATGCGAGGAGATATTCGAGGTGTGGCGGATGTGGTGATTGACAATTTCTATCTCTGTATTGTTTAAATACTTACTGTTGACTGTTGATATGTTTCTTATATGAATTGCATAATAATTCCGCTAAATACAAATTCCTGATTTCTGCCCTCTCTGGGTTTTGTTTGGATTCTTGTAATTCGGTCATCTCGAAATACTAATATTCCTATTACAATAAATTACTACATTAGCCCTGGTTAAAGTGGGATGGTTGGTTGGTTGAGGTCATCGACTACACACCATCAAAGCAACATCACATTATTTCCACGTGTCAGTGTGATTAACGTTGCTATTGGAGAATGGTGAAGTTTTCGTTAGCTCATTAGATCTGTCTTTTCCTCAGTCAACAGAGTCATATTCCTAGCCACATCTAGATATTGTGATGTGCCAGTTTTGTGAACATGTGTGTCAATGATTTGCGCTTGTATTTGGAATAAGTATGAATAAGTTTCAAATCCATAGTTTGTACTCCGAAAAATCAGCAAACTACCACCTTTTGGGTTAATATTCTATTATAATTTTACTAAACAATTTATATTTCAGTAGCCGAATAGTCAACAAGCTCCTCTGTAAATTGGAAGTGCTGAATACGATCTACACTGGGGCTTTGTATGTGTACTGCTGACAAGTTCCTAGCTGGAAGAAGAGTGACAATAAGCACTCTCTAATCTTGTTACGTCTGTTTTCCAGTGGTTAAATAGTCACCAACCAGAGGAGATTCAGGTTCGATTTCCAGCCGACGTAATACTAAACCTTATCCAGCCGGTAGTAAGCCCTGCAAAGAGGGAATTATTAGCGTTACTCTAACAACTTTTCATCGTAGAAACGATTCCACTGCCCAATGCCTCACTTGGAGTGCATGAGACATAAAATGCGATTTACAGTATTCGAATAGAGTTCGGTGATTGATACTTCAGAATATGAAGTTGCAAACTGTTACTTCTACTTTCCAGCTACAAAACAGCTCTGATAAAACTTCAAACAATAGTTTTCAAAAGAAAAAAATTACAGAAAACTCCCTCTTGTCCTTCTGTATTGATCACTTTTAAGAAGTGCGAAATCAATCAATATAATTTATGCGCAATTTTCAATAGTGCATAAGTTATTACGCGCGTAGTGAAACTAGTGAACTTTTTAAGAAATAAACATGTATATATAAGGATAAAGTAGCTATAAAGAGATTTGTTTAAGTGTGATTTGAATAAATAGAAAGCCGCGGGACAACAGAACGAGAAGATGACTAAATTGTCTTGTGTTATTCTGTTGTCATTTCTGCCGTTCGTTTTAAGTGGTGGAGCATATCGTCCAAGTCCTTATCGGCCTTTTCCACCTCCTCTGCCTTCTCATCAACCAAATCATCAACCACAGTATCCTGGCCAATATTCCCCTCCTCCTTCACCCCCTAAGTACGATTATAACCAGCAACCAGAAGAGTATAATGGTGGATATACTGAAGGCTACGACAACTCATATAACGACTACAATTATAATTATAACAATAATGAATATAATAATAATAATAAATACGAGTCTGACAATTATAAACCAGAATCTTATCAGTATGATTATAACAACGACTATAACAATGGTGAAAAGTACACTAATGAATATAACAATAATGATTACAAGCCAACAAATGACTACTCTCAAGGGAATACATACAATGGAGAATATGTCCCAGAAAAGAAATATGAAAACTCTCATCAACCTGAGTATATACCATATGTTGAAGGCGGCAAAAGTGGAATTCCATCAGTCGGCAGCGGGATAATATCTGGATCAAAATCTAGTCATGGTCGGTTAGATGTGAAAGGCAGATTCACTGGTGTTGGTCATCAAGACTACGGTCTGAATTATCAGTCAATCACAAAATTCCGTAAAGGTGGAGGCTATGATATTTATGGTAGAAAACGACAATATCTAGATTATGATACTATGGGTCATGTGAAACAGTATGGTAATAAGCATATGAAGGCTAAATTTGAAGTTGTCGGCAATTTGAAGGGTAATTCTAAATTCAGCGACAAATCCAGCTTCAGTCCGTCTGGAGAGGAAACTTACTGAGACAGCACAATGATAAATAATAAAAAGTGAACCAGTTAAAGCTGTATTTTAATAATAATAATAATATAACAAATAGAGAACGTAAATAAAAATCTACTCGCTGTAAAGACTTGCCTTTCTTCCGTTGGGTAAAATAATCGATTGATACAATTTGAAGAGTGTGGAATCTGTGCTATGCAAATTCGACTTTATAACTCTTGTTTGTCGCTTATTAGGCATATAGCTGATTGATTTAAACACTGAAATTGTATTTATTGGGTATCGGGTTCGAGTCATATCTGACCTAATTCAGTCTAGGCAACTGGGTAGTATCACCAGTCCTCGTGCAATAAGTGTGTGTCTCATAGACAGGCAGTGAGTAATGGGTAGTTCTAACTGACTTACTAACTAACTAAGTATTAGTGATTGTATTTAAAAATTGTGGTACTATGAAAGTAGTATGTGGAATAAGTGTATATTGTGGTAATTCGGGAATTCTATTGAAAGTATAAACTTCTGACATGCTATATTTCTATAATTCGACTACTTAGTGTTGGTGTACTCGGAGAAGTGTAGTGTTTTTTAAATCATCAAATGTATTGAGTGTCGCGTCATTCACAGTAACATATTAGACGTTAACATGACTAATAGGGATTTCGTTTTCCATCCAACTAGACTGGTATTTTCGATGGTTGCCTTGTAGTCTATATTGTATGATTGTGTTTTACTGAAGGATGAGTTTGATTAAGCTACATCTCACTACCGTGATGTAGGCAGATATACTGTGGTTTGTTTTTTAATAAAAGTCGGCTGTCAGAATAGTAAAAATTTAACTATAAGGCCTTTTGTCAATCTGAAATTTTGATAAAGTCTAAAACGCCAAATATAAATTTATAACCATCTATCATATTATGAAATCAAAATGTAAGATGAGACTTACAATATATTTAGTTGTGCTTAGAGAACAGACCGCATAATGTTTTCTTCTACTAATACCAATAAAATTGTTCGTATATGCAAATATTAACTTGTGCGCATCAAAAGTATTCACCCTGATGTATTTTAAGTTGTTGCTACTTGATGTGACTCCAGATTGTTCTGTCATTTTATGTTTAAGTTAATCCAAGATGCTGGTGTATACCAGTGGTAGGTATTAATAGTTAAAAACCACTCGCGTGAAATAGCGTTGCTTGCTAACTATGTCAAAGTAATTAAACCACTGGAAGACAGTTTCAACCGTTTTGGATCAGGTTGGGTCGACTGAACAGATTCGTACCTTACAGTCGAGTTATTTGTGCTAGACCGAGCCTCAAAACGGTTGTTTGGTGGTTAATCACTTCAATGTGGCTAGAAAATAGTACTATGTGACGTGAGTTCCCTCCACTCAGCCACAATAATCGATATTTTATGCTATAATGTCATGAAAGAGGCTATATGCTGTGCTTTGAATATTGTGAGTTTCCAAAAGAAATCATAGTGTTTTCACGTTGAACTTTGTTATTTGTAAGTGACAATCTTGATTTCAAACTCCAGTATTCTTTATTCATTTTTGTAACTCTTCGATGAAGTATTTGGACCAAATTGATTAGGCACATTTCGTTGTACAGGTCCCTTGAACATATGTTTCATAATTGTCTCTAAATATAATGAAATTTCCATTTGTGTTTTTTACGGAGGAGAGGAGTCTATGGTTGAGATATCATTTTAGTTAACTGTGCATGTTGTTGTATTGTATCGTTGTTGTCGCTTTTTGTCCTTTTTGCTGTGAACTGTTCTCCTTTTGCTGGTTTTGTTCTGATTGTTTTGTCCGTTATTTTCAGATTTTGAGGGGAGCAACCCAAAAGGTCACTTCTCTCTAAACTTTATCTTAATGTAACCATTCCTTTCTCAGGCGTGAGGCTAGCAAACCCACCCTGTAAACAAAATTGCTAAAGAAACTTCAGTATGATGAACCTCTTTGCACCAAAAGAAAAGGTCTGTGTGGGGAAATGGAACGTCCGCACTATGTACGAGACAGGGAAAGCTGCCCAGATCGCAAACGAGATGAAAAGATACGGAATCCAAGTGCTGGGAATATGTGAAAACAGACGGAATGCAAGCGGACTCACCAAATTGTCAACGGGTGAGTCAGTGATCTACACCGGTCACCCAGAAGATAACCACACGCACACCGAGGGCGTGACTATCATGATGTCACCAACGGCGACAAAGGCCCTGATGCAATGGGGGGCGATTTCGTCCAGGATAATGACCGCCAGATTGAACTCCAAAGGAAGGAAAGTGCCAATTATACAAAGATATACACCCACAAACAACGCAGACCTCAAAAAGAAAGAAGAGTTCTACAGACAACTACAGGTAACAATGGACGAAACTCCAGCAGGCGACATGAAAATACTAATGGAAGACATGAACGCCAAACTGGGACCAGACAACACAGGAAGGGAACTCATCATGGGTAGAGAAGCTCTCGGAGCAATGAATGAAAACGGAGAACTCTTCGCCTACTTCTGCGCCTTCAACGAACTAGTGATTGGTGGCAGTGTATACAAACACAAGGATATCCACAAGGCTACATGGGTGTCACCAGACGGGCAAACCAAAAACCAAACTGACTTCATCTGAATGTTGCTCCAGGAAGTGGAGACGCAGCCTACTGGACACAAAAGCAAGAAGAGGAGGAGATGTTGGCTCAGACTAAATCAAATTAAAAGTTTTTAGGGAAACAGGAGCTGCAGATAGACCACAAGCCAAGTTCAACACTCAAAAACTGAAGGACCAGGCTACGAAGAACATCTTCATTGCAAACATAAGGGAAAAAGCCGAGACACAAATCAACACTAGCGAAGAGGTCGGCGTCGAAAAGCACTGGGACAACTTGAAAAGGGTGTGGAGTCAAACCTGCATGGAAGTTCTAGTCAGAAAGAAGAGACAGGACAAACAGTGGCTCACTACGGACACTTGGAGACTAATAGAAGAGAAAAGAATAGTGAAACAAAAGATTATCCAGTGCACCGACGAGCGACAAAAACAGGAGTTGAAAGCAAGCTACAATACACTGAACAAAAGAGTGAAGAAGAGTGCCAGGGAAGACAAAAGAAAATATTATGAAACCATGGCAAACGAAGCAGAACAAGCTGCAACATTCTACGAAACAACTAAGTTCCTATCGGCGAAAATTTCGACATAAATAAGCCAGTGAAGGATGACAGTTTAAACCAGTCACCAAAGAGGTGGAACAAAGAAAACACTGGGCTGAACACTTCAAAAGACTCCTAAATCGTCCGCCACCTACAACACTCCCAACAATACCAACAACGGAAGCAGAACTACCAGTGGAAGTCAACCCACCCCCGACAAAATTTATTTTTTATTTTTATTGCTCCCTTGGGTTCCTAGTGGAACATAGGGCTTCAACTGCGCGTCTCCATTTTCTTCTGTCTTCTGCTATACTTTTCGCCTGCATCCATGTTAATCCATCTTCTTTCAACTCCTCTTCACACGATCTCCTCCATGTCACCCTTGGATGTCCCACACGCCGCTTCCCATTCGGGTTCCACTCGAGGGCTTGGCGCGGGATGTCACCCAGCGGTCTCCTCAGCGAGTGTCCGATCCATCTCTACTTTCTCCTGCGTATTTGTTGGGCGGTTTGTTATTACTTTGTTTTTCCCATAATTCCTTATTGGTGATTATTTCCGGCCATCTGATATTCAGTATTGAGCGAAGACAGTTGTTAATAAAGGTCTGCAGCCTTTTGGAAATATTCTTTGTGACCCGCCAAGTTTCTGATCCGTATAGAAGAACTGACTGACTTTACGTTTGTATTGAAAATCCGAATTTTGTTGTTGATGCTGAGTGACGAAGATTTCCAGATTGATTTCAGGCTGATGAATGTGTTTCTAACCTTCCCGATTCTCGATTTGACATCCTCGTCCGCTCCTCCTGTAGTTGAGACAATGCTCCCTAGATAAGTGAATGAAGAATCCTCTTTCAAATCCTTCCCGACGAAATTAGAAGTCCTGAATGCAATCAAGATGCTAAAAGCTGGGAAAGCAGCAGGACCAGATGGAATCCCAGCTTTGAAAATAGACCCAGAGACAACAGCGGACTTGATGACGCCGCTGCTGGAGAAGGTGTGGAAAGGGGGCAAAGTATCCGAGGATTGGAAAAACGGATACTTATTCAAACTACCAAAGAAAGGAGACTTAAGTCAATGCAAAAACTGGCGTGAAATTATGCTTCTGTCCATTCCAAGCAAAATACTAAGCCGCATCATCCTGGAGAGAAACAAACAAGCCCTAGATGAAAAACTTTGACCGGAGGAAGCTGGATTCAGGGGAAACAAGTCGTGTATTGATCAAATCGCCACTCTACGGATCATCATTGAAGAAAGCTTGGAATGTCAGTCACCTCCCTATCTCAACTTCATCGACTTTGAAAAGGCCTTCATCAGACAGCATCGATCGAGAGGTGATTTGGCAACTACTTCTCTACCACGGGGTCCCATTGACAATTATACATCTCATCCAACAGTTATACGACAATGCTGCATGCCAAGTAATCCACAACGGGAAACTTACGAAAGGCTTCGAAGTGAGGACGGGAGTGCGACAAGGCTATCTACTATCACCAATGATCTTCCTGATTGCAGTAGATTGGATAATGCGACAGACAACGGCAGCCAACGAGGGAGCAGGCATAAAATGGACTCACACAAAAGACTTGGAGGATCTGGATTTCGCCAATGATATATGTCTGATTTCCCACAAACTGGAAGATATGCAAGTGAAAATCAACACGTTGGTAGAAGAAGCATCCACAGAGGATAGGACTTCAGGTGCACATAGAGAAAACAGAAGTGATGAAGATTCCCGGCCAACATCAACAGCAAAAACAACAACAGACAGCAATCAGCCAGCATATATGGGAGGATCCTGAAAGAAACAACCTCCTTTACCAACCGACCTGGGAAGCATCGTTTCAACTGCAGGCGAGCGGAACTGACGAGGATATCAAAGCAA